TGACTTTTATATTCCATCTTGCTTTCTGTAGGTATATGTCATGTATTTAGCATTGTGGAGACAGCACATACACATGAAATTCCAACTGTTCAGGGGGTTTGGTTTGGGTAATAGTCAACCTCATTTGCTCTCAACTTGTTTCTCCCCCCTTTGGGAAGATTATCATAGAACAAGGATCCTTATTTTGCAAGTCCCTAAGTAATGATGCACACTGTAATCATTGACAAATACAAGCACAAAACCGCTTGTAGTAATGCTTTTTATTTTAACAAAAGGATATAAAGGGGATAGTAGAATAGGATGTAAGTGTGAGGGGGGGGGGGGTCCTGGACACCATCTCCCTCTCTTCCTGCCCACACCACCAAAAAGGGTATTAAATAATTTAAGGACCTGCATTTACAGTACCAGAACACCATCAAATAATTTTTTTTTTTTTTTTGGATACAAAAATACGGTGATTCTAGATATTATGCCGTGATGATTGTAGATTTTACAGGTAACATAACTATAGTCAGAAAAACCAAGTCCAGCAGTGCAGTGCCTTCAGGTAATGCACTTGAGCATAATTACATTTCTGGCGGTCCTGAAAACAAAAACTAAGCATTCATTTCATTCTAAACTCTCTCTTAGGTCCACAGGCCAAGTTTAAAAAGTCACAGTGGATAAATTACCTACTCAAAAAATTCTAAAAGTGTTCCTTTCAAAATCAGAGGTTGTGGGACACACGCACACATTGTTTTTTTCTTTTACAAAATGCTATTAAAAAGGATAAGAGAATCCAGTTAGATATTTTACAGACTTAAGGCAGTGAGTAAAGTATCCATGTTTGGTAGAAGTGATCTTCCGGGCTTCATTTCCCCATAGCCCCAAGTTCCTTTTTGGGGTGGGAACAGGCAAGTGATCCTGAATGAACATATAAAACTGGGTTTGCATCTCTCTTCTTGAATTCTGCACAGACTTCAAACTCTGAGTCTTATATTCCTACTCACCTCAGTAGAAACTCTTTTCTTTTAACTTTATTTTACCATGACATAATGAGTGCATTGCACAAGCATTGCAATACTGGTTTTAATCTATACAGTTCTAGAATAGTATGAATTAAAATAAGTTAACTTTCCTAATGAAATAGCTGACGGGCAGCATACATCTTTATTTACATTTAAAGTCTCTTGCGGGCATCTACTTTGATTTCCAGTTATCAACAATCGTAATGTAAGCGCAGGTCCCAGAGAGCTGAACCCGGCATTCCAATAACATTAACAGATGTAAACTATTTCTTTTTTGAAATACCGGAAAGCCAGTTTTAAAAATATTATTAAATGTTCTAACATTTACCACACTGAAGAGTTAGATGTAAAATAAAATTTCTTCAGAATGTCTTGCAGTTTTAGGCATGCTGACACGTTATCACCAAACATCCATACCTTGAAAATAGGACTGTCACATATTCACATCCAGCTCACCTTTTAATCCCTTGTACAGACTAAAAACAAAAACACCCACACCCTCATCCCAAAGTATTTGAAAAAAAAAAAAGTCAATGGTTTTGCAAAAGAAGTCCTCTCGTGTCTGTCTAGACTGAAGGAAGGAAGGTTCTTCCGCGTGATAATGAAGCACTTCGACTGTGGAGCATCCACACAGCCCTACTGGGTTGTCGCTAAAATGAGCGAGCCCTGGGTTTTTAGCCTCCGTGCCTGCTTTCAAAAGCGTCTCATTATTAAGCCATTATTGCAAACAGTCCTAGAATTCTCTTCTTTCTCGAAAGTCAATATGTATTTCATCACATCACTCTTAGCCCTTTTCTTTTCACCTAGGTTAAGTAATTAAAAACTCCTTCTTCATACGGTTATTGTAGGAAATTATTGGCAGCCATTAAATTTTTTTTTTTTTTTTCTTCCATGGTCTTTGACTCGATACCGGTTTGACATCATCGCCGTGATGCATTAGATGGATACTGCCGCCAGGAAAAGGAGTTGTCGTGGGCTTCGAGGGTTAAAGGTGCTCATGAATATTCTGCATCATCTTCAGTTTAATGTCTTCCCCTAAAAGCATACCTGGAAGCTTCTCAGAATCCGGTGCTCACCAAGTTCGACTGGGTTGGCCTGTGCTAAGAGCTGGTATGACTGCACCATCGTGGGGACTCCCTTATTTCTAGAACAGGCTCCATCAGTTTGTGCGTTTGGCCTCTGTGGCATGTCCAGGTCAGAGCCTAGGCCCATGAAAGCTCCCGTCTAGCTGGCGCGTCTGGTGATGGAGTAGATGTGCAACAGTCTGCACAGAAGTCATCCTCACAACTGCCAAGATATGCTCGTTTGGCCAGAGATCTGAAATACACAATATTTTTAAGTCCTGAGACTCCGTCAAGCAATGGATTTAATATTAACCCCACGTTTAAATTAATACCTAGAACAGAATCTCCTTGAATCACTGAGGATCTCTTGCAGGTTTGAACAAACACGAAAACCTCTAGAGAGTGAACAAAGTCTAAAAGTGGCTGACCATTTCAGTAAGGGAACTGTGGACAAAGCTGTCATCGCTTTCACAAAGGAGCCTTCTGGGATGCAGCAAGTGGCTTGTATGGGTTATAAGGGAAGGCGTGGCTGGCTTAATGATGAGTGGAGCAGCATGTGACTCTTGATCTCAGGGTCCTGAGTTTTGGAGCCCCACTCTGGGCACGGGCCATGACTTGAGCAAACAGGTTATAATGTTTATGATGATAGTTGTCACGACAATGGCTGTAACCAATGTTGTTTTTGTTTTTTCTTCAGTGTTTGTATTGGTTTTTAACATGTGATTTATATCTTGGATGGTAAAAATTCCTGCCAGGGGTGGGGGGGGGGGGTGGGGTCGTGAGCCCTCTTGACAGCAAAGTCTTCATGATATTTTAAAAAGGTTATTTGCTTTGAAATATTTTATATATATATATATATTTTATATAAACCAGTGTATTTTATATAAAACAGTATGTATTTTTAATTCATTTAACCATTTAACAAAAGTTAAAACATTTCTGTTTCAATTACCAAATTGGGCAAGAGAGCTAAAGTCACCACCTTTGGAGCCTATTCATTACGTGACTCCCAATAACATTCAGTGTTTTTTGACATATTGATTCATATATGCACCACAGAACTAAAATATATGTACAAGATGTTTTAGGGGCGGGAGGGTTTCGCAAATTTAACTGCAAACTTCATTGAGTTGAAATTGCTTTTTTGACTTTTGGTTATAGATGATCTGTTGTGGCTGCTGTTACTTAAAGATTGAACACACACTCATTACCTGGCTACCCTGCTGTCTTATTTGCAATGATAGGTTCTGAGGAAACAGCACATCCATTTGCTTTTAAAAAGACAATTGTGGAAAAAAAAGGTTTCACTGTAGTGACTCTTGACATAAGCTCTTTTACAGAATATATGTATCATGTTTTCATATTAAATCAGTTATTCCTACAATCGAATATTTACCTCTCTTCATTTTTTTTTATTGTGTTTACTTGGTTGATCAATTTACAGTAGGCTTGAACAAAGGCAGCAACTGAAAATGTAGTTTTGTACAGCCTTCGACAGAGCTCCAGGCCTAGGGTAAAATAACACTGTGTTAAATTCAGATACCGTTTTTCCATGAGGTTTGATTAGAGTGTATTTCCCAATAAAATATTTACTATTTAAAAAATTATCTTGGCATTTTATTTCTCTACCCAGTAAGCAAGTTAATACAGTGTGAAGGTGATGATGAAAAGATGCTTTGAGAGGAAGACTGGGATTAAAATAAATTAAATTATTTGATTTACATAATTCATAGCATGAAGCACACATTTTCATTAGACAAAAATTTTTCAGCAGGCAATCTATAAATGCTTTAAATTCATAATGAAAAAAAAATGTACAAATGCATATACTTTTACCCCCATCAGATATTCCATCTCTGTTAGCATTTATCAACAAATGCTTGATAAAGCAAAGTAACAGTGGATTACCTCTTACCTAAAAATGATTTTTTCTAAAAAAAAAAAAACCCCAAACCTTGTAATCTCATTGAAATGAGACCGTGAAATCAACATACGCACTTTGATGTTCAAAATTCAAACATGTTAGTTTATAGATGTACAAACAGGCGACTGCGAGTTGTACATATTAATGATGGAACCTTCACCTATATAGGACCGACGTTTCATGGATTAGGGCTACGGCAGAACTGAAGCACACACACTACTCTTAGAGTAATCCAGGACAAAACACTGCTAGGTCACAAATGGCAAATGAAAATCAGTTTGTCTGACACGGATAAGTCTATAAATTAAGACAAATCACTTACTGCTAGAATTTCCATTTGCTAAGCAAGAAGGAGATCGGGTCACAAAAAATACAAAGGAAGAAAAAGACCAAGAATTAGTGTAAGAAATCATTTTAACTAGGGTCACAGATGTCCCAGGCAAACTGAAGAACATTTAATTGCACCCAAAAGAAAAATTTGCTATTTCCAGAACAAAACTTTTTATACGCTTACGGTAACAAGTGTTACAGGGTGTTTTTAACTCTTTGCCAAATAACTAAATTACATGTAGGCTATAATTTCTCGTGTGAAAACTACAGGAGAAAATTGAACTGATGTGATCTTGGGAAAACTTGTGAAAGAAACCAAATGTCATAAAATTTCCATTAGTAAAGTGGAAAATTTCTGATTAGAAAATAAATGCATTACTGTTTTCAGAAAAGAATCGGCCTATATTCTTATAAATACCTAGGAGAATATCATCTTTGGTGTGGGTCATTCTAGGCTTCCTACCCTTACTAATTAGGTCCTATGTTGCCATAATTGGTGCTGAGTCAGAATGTAAGATATCAACAGCGGATGTGGGTTTTAAATTGTATTCCCAAATGCAATTTAGCGAGCTTCAGAAGTTTGACCCAACTGGGTTTGAGTCAGATGATGTATATAAAATACATAGTGAAACATCGAGTTTATGGACTATTTAAAAATTACTACAATCAAATATCTATAGCAATTTGGACCTAGCCTCGTTAATAGAGAAGGATGATGTCTAATTAAAATAGCAATTGCCAGAACATAAATATTGCTTCTAAGAGTCCCTTTTGAAGCGTGCTTTTCTAAATAGTGTCCTCTGAAGGACTGTTTATATAACATTTATTCCTATCAATTTAGAAGGGATTTGCTAAGCAAAGGTGAACTTTAGCTTCCTACTGCTTATCATAAATTACGTGGATAGTCATTCACTGAACACCAGTGGAACATAATCCAATGTCAAACACATTAGCATATCTGAGTTTGAGGTTCTCCTTTACACAGTTTTATATGGAAAGTAACAACTATTTGAGTGGCAAATACTTTTTCTCATTTCTATTAGCATAAAAAACGGAACTGGCTCTCTATGCATACACCCATAGCATCTACTTGGGGATGTAATGGAAAAGAAATCATGATAAAGTTTATGATCACCACAATTGTAGGAGATAACACAAATGTAATTAATTCTATAGTTCTCAATTACCAGAAATTACTCTAAATATGCCAGCTTTCCAGATTGAGAATTACTGCTTTTTAAGTATATTGAAATTTGCAGGTGCATTCTTTTTTCATTTATTTTAAAATAAATATTTATTATGCAAAAGACTATTCTGGTACACAGGAACAGATACTAGTAATGTGTAAAAAGTGTCCCCAGTCTCAAGGAGCTAAATATAAAAGGAGAAATAAGATATAAATGAAAGTCTTAAACGTACAGTTTTTACTTAGTAGAAAGCCTTGAGCTAGAACTCACTTAAACTCTTGGAGATGGAACTTCTTTTCTTCAAGGCAGAGGGGATGTAAGAAATCATTTAGTCTAATCACCTAATTCATATAGGAAAAAAGGAGTTTATCTTTCTTGCTCAAGCCATGTAGTTAAACAGTGGCAAAGACAGAACCAAAGTCTCCAATTCTAGTTTAGGGGTTAATTCCTTATTTTCCCTTGTTTCTTTCCTTACATGGGTGATTAGACAGTCTCCTTGTGAACACAGTGCGGGATTCGGAGTCAGCCTGCCTAGACTGGAATCCTAATTCTAACTCTTTTCTTACTGATTTTAGATAAATTTTCTTCTTTGAGCCTCGGTTTCCTCATCTGCAAAATGGGGATAATGAGAGCATGTACAAGACACACATGGAAGGACAGAGCTAATGAATGTGAAACTCATTTATTGAGAGTATACTATTATTTTCTCAATGTTTCAGTTTTTTAAAAACTTCCAATTTTTATAATAGTACAGTAACTTTTACAGTGACTAGAAATCTCTAACAGTGTAACCAATGTTGAAAAAGACTGGAGCTCTGACATCAATGTAGAGGTCATTATTTTTGAGGTCGTTAAATTGATGAATGCAACGCATATTCCCCACTTAGAATAATTTGTAGGCTTAATTTATCCTCATTTAATATACTGTGTTACATATATGCACTTCCTCTAAGAAAATGTTACTTTTATTGTCACTGACTTTTACACTGTAAAAAAAAGTTATAATTTACCCAATCAGAATTTCACCTTTAGAAAGGCTAATAGAAATGTATACAACATGACTCCTTAGGTTTGCTTTGCTGACCAGACAATTGATCTGCAGAATACTGATTCAAAAGAAACATTTTTTTCAAGAGGCAGATGTAAGTACAATCTAACTTGGACTGTCCAGATACCCATCAAGCTTATCTGCTGAATGTTATTAAGCTTCAGTCACAAGCTGGTCTTTCATTTTTATTAAAGTGAATTTTTCATTACTAAGCCAATATTTCGGTGAAACCTACCTTTGACAAAGATTGTTCTGATAACAAAAATGAAGAGTGTTATCAATTTTATTTCTAGGATTATCAAATAGGGACCTTCGAACATACGCATTATTTCACCCGACATAGAAATACAGCAAAACCGAGAAGAAGAGTCTTACCTGTGCATCTGTGTTTATCCTATACACGTCTTCTTTGGCACCAAATGTCCTCTTACAGTTGTCTAACCACTAAAGAAATAAGTAACCGCAAATTTTAACAAGGCACAATGTACTGTACAAGGCACGATGACACTGGTAATACAACAGCCTGTGCATATAAAATAACTTTAAAAGTTAACTTGAAATTCTGGGATTGGTTATAGACATAGCCTTCAACCTCCACTGAGCCTAATTATTTATATGCAACAAACCGGAAGCAGGCTGTGCACCAGATGCACACACTGTGATGTTTTATTCACAGAAACACAATAGACAGTCTGCTCTTCTAGGGACCTCTGGTGCTCCATTTCAGGACAGAGTATTCTTCATTTTGCAGATTTTATTGGAAATCTTCACAACCTATACCTGACCTTTGTCTAATGGAAGATGGGGAAATGAAAGATGTGCTTCGCCTTTGGAAGCACAATTTAATAAAGCCAACTCAGAATTAACCAGGTCTGTTTGCTTATCAGAAGTGTAATTCTCAGAAGACTAGTGTCAGTTTTAATTAGTGAAACAGAAACCGAAACCCGTTTTCAATCTTGTTTTTCCTTTTCCTTCCTTTTGGACCGTAATGAATGACAAACATGTTATCTCCCAAGAATATTGACTACAGAAGCCAAATGTGGTTTTTCCTTATCCAGGGGCTATTTCCTAAAGTTGGGTATTTACTTAAGGGATCTTCTTTCGTCAAATAAAAATAAAATAATAGCATTGTAGTTTAGTGGGAAAAAATGTTGGAGTCATGGAATGTCTAAGCTCAAGTGAAAGCTAAGAGCCTTCAAGTTAAGCTACTAGGTTTTGACAGTTTGATATTGTCAATACCCGTTATTTTCACTTCCTTGTTCTTTATGTGTGTGACAGATTGAGCATAAAACTAATATATATAAGAAATCACTAGGACTTCGAGAAAAACTACTTGCTACATTAAGTATTCTCTTTGAAAATATCTCAGTACTAGGCATTTAAAACGTTCAACTGTAGCTTAACATTCTACATGCAAAGAATGAAAATTAGACATCTCAGTGATTTCAAAACAACTCTGTGACCTTATGTTGCTTTTATCCCAGTCCCTCAGACTGCACAGGCCCTTAGGCTTTTTGCTTCACAGCATCTCTGAAGAAAACATGTGAAGCTTTCCTAGTGAGATACAGCTGCTGGCATCCACTGTCAAAAGGTATCCAGCAGATTTCTTTCTATCAGCAAAATTCAGCTGCAGTCTCTTGTAGAATGTGTACATTAGTCTTCGTACAAAATATTAAAATGTTTATACACCTCATCATCCTCACTAACCCAGTCCAATTTGTCCAAGTATCCTAATAAATTAGAAAAAAATAGTTTTAATTGAATGTTTACTGGCTTATTCTTACTAAACATACATTTTTCTATTCTATGCCTAATGCTACAGCATTTTAGGAGCCTTATTCAACAAGCTATGATTTTTTTTTTTTTTTTTTTTTTTTTTTTACTCTGTTAAAAGGCAAGCCCCAAGCCGATAGTTTTGTGGCTGCACACTGGCCTGAACAATAGAGATCCACATGTTTCCAGCCAGTGTAGACAAGACACAGGAGTTTCTGTATAAAATGTCCTCCAGTTTACATCCAATCAGTCTTCCGGTCATAACTGTTTCTTTACTCAGGGCTCAAATGAAGGTTAAAATTGAACTGGAGAGGTTCTGCTCCTGGGCATGATGGAGTAGCTTGTATAAGGTCAATCCTCCATGGACAACTACAGAAGCAGAATACCATCCACCAGGGGTGAGGGCGTTAGACAAAGCACGGAAAGGGAGCCTGCAAAGATGCCTGTGTTTAATCCAGAGGACTTGCTTATTCAAAGCTTTGCTTATTCCTAAGGCAGAGAGGCTGAACAGAAAGTGGTGCCCCAGGGTGTCTGGCCCACAGTGTCACCGAGCTGGGCAAAGACGGTTAACAAAGGTAGGGAGGTATCAAGGTCCAGGATGCTGGAGGAAAGGGGACAGCAGAGAAGACAGCTGACGGTCTGTGTGCAGCTTCCCTTGGTACCATGTTTAGCCCATGCAGCAGGAGGAGAGGCTAGCAAACCACCAAGCCGTCTGGGAGGCTAAAGACGTAAGCAGATTTCTGGTCTCCTGGCGTTGAAAAGAAGGACTGTTCATTTCCTGCCAAGATGGTCCTGATGAATACCCTTGACTTTCACCGGTGACCCTCAGGAGACTCCAGGAATAATGGGAAGAATGTGTTAATATATATATTATA